TTTAAGAGAAGCTCTGTGGCATGAAACTATGTTCCCACTGGCACTAAAAACCCTCTCAGATGGGGAGCTAGTTGCTGGAACACATAGGTATTTCTTAGCTAATTTAGCAAATTTAGGGAAATGTGCCACATGGATGCTCCACCATCATGAGCACAAATCAATAGAATGTGGACTCATATATATATATATATTAATACCAAAGACTTATGCACTCTCTCTGTCTATATTATGAAAACTGGTAAAACAAATGAAAAATATTATACGAAAAAATAATATAATGACAAGAGTGCACCAAGAGTCTATGACAAATCTATATCATAACAGGAGTTCTGACCTTTGTCACAAAAAGTCTTTATTTCGTTGCCTTTTTGGCAACATGTTTTAGTAATCATCATAAGTTATATACCATTTGAAAGCTTAAAATCTCAAAATTCATCCTGTGAAAACCTTTTAGCAGTCTCCTCCCCCTTAGCGGGGGTGTCGTATTACAAAATGTTTTACGGTCTTTTAGAATCAAAACTTTTTATAATCTTGACATAATACATATCGTTGGAAAGGTCTGAGTCTCAAGATTCCATATTTGGTGGTTATTTTGATAGACGTAATATTGAGAGAGAAATTGATAGATTTGTAACAGAAATGCATCAAATGGAGTTTGGGTGGCACCCCGTGGCTTTTTTTGGTATAACGCCTAAAAATTGCATATGAACCTCAATTTTTTTTTATATCAACTTCAAATTTGGAACACAACTTATGTAGACAATGGCTTTAATTTTATAGCGATTTTGTATTTGTATTATTATATTTTATATAAAATTAAATTAAAATAGTACAATATATTTTCTTTACAGTAAATTTAAACTTCTATAATTTTTTACTACTTTCAATGTATTAAATGATTTCATTCTGTAATACTCTGCTAATTGTCTTCTTTAAAAAAAAAAGACCAACCTTAGGTCTGTATTCAAAAGGTTCATGAATTATAATAATTTAAGTTTGTATAGTGCGCTTTCTCGTGAATTTTCAAAAATGTGGATCACAGTTAAGGGGTTAAGAACCGCAGAAACCTGCAGCTGTTCCTGAGAGGCGTGAAATAATCACAGATTGTCTGCAGTTTAATGAAGTGTCAGTGAATCAGGGTAACTCACCCGTTCTCTGCTTTCCTCTTCAGCGACTCCTGCTCCGTTACGAGTCTCTGATGCTGTTCATACGCTGCCACCAGCCTGAGTGAAGAGAACACCAGATGCATCTCAAAACATGTTAAAAACACTTTTCCTAACAGTAGGGCTGGGCGATATTTCCGATTTTGATTCATTCGAATTTAATGTTTTGCCAAGATTAAATTTTTTATAAATCGAGGAATCGCGAGGAATATTACCAAATGTTAGAATTAGACACACTTAGAGTGCGTTCTTTCACTGCATGATTCAGTCTATTAAAATACATTTATAATGATCACAAATTCAAGACATGATGAAAATATATATATTTATACCACTTCATATAGTTAATCAATTTCACACGAAGAGTGCCGTTTTTCTCCAAAAAATTACCATGATTACAAATTTAGTATTGATTTTTTACAACAGTTCAATAAACAAGTTAACTTACATTTTAGACACTATTATTGACTGTTTTTGCGGTATTTTGCCAACAAAAATAATTCTAAACATAGCCACAGCACTGTTTTGTGTCTCTGAGCAACATGACGGTGTTTCGTTCCTGAATGAATCAACCGTTTAAATGATTCGGTTCAATCGCAATAAATCACTTACCGTATTGCCCCGAATATAAGACAATGTTTTTTTCTTGGAAATGATAATAATTGAAGACAAAATGTGTTTTACTGAGAAAAAAAAAATTTGGTTTTTAAAAAGCCTTTTTCCAAAAGGTACATCTGGAAAAAGGGGGTCGTCTTATAATCAGGGTCGTCTTATATTCGGGCCAATACGGTATTAACAGTGACTTGCTGCCACCTGCTGGCGGTTTTAATTTCACATTCAACGGGATTTGTCATGCCGCACCGCATCCAGTATAGACAGCGCTGATTATAATGGGTTCTATTGTATTTTGTCATGCATTCTATTGTAAATGCATGTCTCTGCAAGTATTCTTGTAAACACGGTTGCTTATGACTTAGGTGAAGGTAAACAATTGAGAAATATAATGGATAGTATATTGGTTCAATGCAGTTTAATATTCCTGAGGCTTTTGTAGCTTTAACACAGACTTATAAGATTTAATTTATACAGTGAAGACTATGCAGTGTTGTTTTACATTTGATTATTCAATTTCTGTACCTGAATACTGTTAGACTTGCCTGAAAAATATAAAGCACCGTTTATTTAATTTGTATCTTTTTTCTATTATATTTATCTATGTTTGTAATTTGTTTATTTTCTATGCTGATTTACTCACCTACAAAATCACACCAATGATTATTTTTTTCCAAACAGAGCTATTCAAGTCATCTGGTGATTTTTTTTTTTTCATATCGCAGATAAACAATAATATCGCAATGTGAGTTTTTTCTAATATCGTGCAGCCCTAATGAAGAATATCAAAAACTTTAGGAGTCAGCTGTCTATGGTAGTCCTTTAGATACCAGTACAATAACACACTCAGCAAAATATCGTCTAATCATCATCGATAAAATCCCAGAAAACAGAGATATTTTTTGTCAATATCGCACACCCCTCGGTGCCGATATGAGCTTTTGTGTTGATAAAGATGCGACGCAGGCAGTGGAATAGCAAACACATGCAAGAAGATGGGAGTGAACTTCTCTTAACTTGAGCGCTGTGTTTTTAGAAAGCTGTTTCATGCATGAGACGCTGCAAGAGAGCAACAGTTAAACAGTCCATGTTTACACAGAAAAACAATGGAAAAGCAGCGCAAGCGAATAATAAAACCTGTGAAGAACTATTACTGTATGTCTGATATTTCATGTTTGCATCACGGTGTCAGACTGAAAGCTGCTGTTGTTTTTACAGAACATTTATAGTTAATAATACTCTACTGCTGTTATACCTTCAGTCATCATGAGTTTGAATTAACTTGACTTCTGAGCATTTTCCTCGCATTATTTCTGAACATATAATATGTATAAGACAAGTTTGTACAAGATGTAGTTATAGTTCATGCATCTTTTCTGCAAAGAACAAGTGATTTGTTTAACATTTATATCTTCATGTGTGCTGCACTTGGAACAGAATTTTCTTTAAACATTTATATCTTCATGTGTGCTGCACTTGGAACACAATTTACTTTAACTAGAGGAAGTTACTGGAATCATGTCGTAGTTACATTTTCAAGTTGACTAGTTAAAAATCGAGAATCGGTGAAATGTTCTGAAATTTTTTTTTTTGCTATATCGGCCAGCCCTAGCTAACGGAAAGCGAGCGCTCTGACTCTAACTCACAGGTTGACGTCGCTGCCGAAGTCCTCCAGGAACTCGAGCTTGCGCTGGGAGAAGATGAGGCGCTGCTCCAGCTGCATCGTGCTGCTCAGAGCTCGGTCGAAGCAGGCCATGATCTCGGCCTCGTTCTGCTGCACATCGCCGCTGTACTCCAGCTCCAGCAGGTTCAGGTACAGCTTCGGGTTCGTCTGCAGCCAGAAAAACAGCATAAAATAAACTGAAGCATGAATAGGGTTGGGAATCGAAAATCGATTCCAGAATCTGATACTTAAGGTCAGGAATCGGATACTTGTTGTCAAATTAAAATTTCGATTCCGCCTATCGATTCCTATTCGGACCCAGCGATGTGCCAGGACCTTGCTTGCTAATCTAAGCGCTCCAAAGTTTGGCTACATTAGCGATCAGAAGCTAAAAAAGCTAAGTATAATATCAGTGATAGCTAAACATCTTGCAAGAGAGGTGTCACCACCAACATGACAAGCACTTTAATTTAATAGATCGTTAAAGAACATGATTCAAACACCGTGATTCTATTCCTAAATTACAATGATTCGTCTGTTTCATTGCTCAACCTTTGACGTGTGCGATCAATGTTGTGATCACGTGGTTCATCCGTGCAGCGTACGATCACACCAGTGTGATTTGAACCTTTAAATCTGCGATCGCGCTGCCATTGACCTAAAGAGAGCAGCTGTCTGTCATGAATGAAACAGCTTCACAGTCTTTTCA